ACTGTGAGAGGCGGTATTACGAGGCATCGCCTCGCTGCGAATTGTTATCAATTGCCCCCTTTTTGGGGAGTAGTGGGAAGAATATCGATCGGGAAAAGCAGGCAGAGAGGAAGGTCGTCTGGGCAGCGTTTGCGCAGAAGAATCATTCTAGGGCTGGTAGACTTGTCTCCCTCCATGGAAAACCACTTCATCCACGTTATGATCTCCACCCCCCAGCCCTGACTTTATTTTTATTTATAAGAATGGGGCAGAGTAAATAACCCCCAGAGGGAGTGAGGCCAACCCCTTTCCCTTGCTTTCCATAAGAATCCAAGCTAACCTAAAGAAAACGGGAGGGTGGTAACATTCTCGTCTTCAAGACTAAATCGATAAAGGTTTCTAGTCCTCAATATATATGTGCGTGCGTGCGTGTGTTGAGGGCTAGATATTTATATACGGAGGGATTCTTAAGGAGAAGCAGATGCATGCACAGCGAAATCTAGTTAATAAGTCGATGGCATTCTCGACCTGAAAGGACAGAGGAGAACAAAACGGGTTGAAAAGGACACTCTAACCAAAGGTGTCCATCCAAGTGCAGTGTCTTTAAAACCTCCCTTTAGGTCACCCACATTCTGCCTCGTCTTGTGGTCAAAGGAGTAAAAAATATATATTCTACCAAGCGCAAAAGTCGGCGGAAATGGATACAAATCATTTGGGGGAGAAGGAAAGGACACCGTTACCTGGGAACAAGCCTTATTGAACATGGGGGGGGGTGAGGGTATTATTTTGGAGTAACCAAGCACAGACTCGAGTTATGCAGACACCTTGGAAATAGAGAGCAGCGACCATGTACAAGGAATCCCTTTGCTCCTCCAGGTTGATCTAAACTCCCTCTTAAGTTTCTGGAACAAGGAAGACCGAAAGGTGGTGGGGAGGGGTCGTTGTATGTGTTCCCCCCTAGTTTTACCTGGACTGGTCTATCTGGTTTTCCATATTAAAAGGCAGCTAGGAACACCACAGTGATAAATGTGTTTGTGTGCATTTTACATTTAAACAGGGCGGTGGCGGGGGGGGGGCGAATTAAGAAGCGGCGCAGTTCCTCCCCAATCCGGTGATAGCTCTGATCCTGCTCCTAATTCGGTTCGCAATTCGTAATCCGAACCAGGCGCGCGGAATTAATTGCTTTCGCTTTGCTTTTTAGTGTGCGCGTTTCAAAGAACAAAAACCTAAAGTTTAAATTGGCAACTTCTGAGGAGCCCGGTTGTGTGCAAGAAACAAAAGCTTGCGGGCAAGCATCGCTCCTGTATATGCGTGGCTTGGCCTTCGGCTGTGACCCGCAACGCAATGAAGTTTAGACCGAAACAATTCAAAGATGGAACGTCATGGCAATGCGCCGAGATGGGGTGACTGATGCTTCTGGCACCGAATTGACTTCGGTTTAAGAATCCGGTTGTGCCGCCTAAGGTACCTCGCAGGGTTGTTGTGAAGATTAAATGGGGAGGCGGAGAACTATGCAGCTATCTTGCAGGAAAGTGGAATAAGAATAACAACAGTAGTAGTAGTTAATTATATGAAAAACTGCGATTGTGTTTATTGGCATCATCGAGGTGACTACAGAGCTGCTTTGAGAATAAATTCCATTGGACTCATTAAAATCTTACTCCTGAGTAAACATGCCGGCCTGTGTATCCACGTGGGGGTACATTCGTCCGAACCTGGTTGGGACTGCGAGTTTATTATAATCTGATTAATGGACCACAGGTGCTGTTTTTCAAAACGCTGCGTTTCATCCAATGCCCTGCCAGTCACCAACTTTTCATCTGTTCTGGAGAAAACCTATTCCTGTAAAATCCCTTCTAGTAACGCCCCCCCATCCCTTCCCCTTAAATAAGTAACTCCCCCCCCCCCGCTTTGAACTGACAAAAAAGCCAACCCAAAACCCCGTGCCCTTATTCTAAAGTTGATTTCTAGATTTACGGGAAAGGACGTGACTGGACTTTGAGGGAGAGAAATTAATTCATCATGCAGATGAGGGCTTTTCTAATTCCTCTACCATCTTCTGCCCGTTTCTTGACTGCTAATAAAGTAGATCATTGATTGCCCCCCCCCAATAAATTATTTATTGGGGGGGGGCAATCTGCAGGAAATATGGAGTTGAGATGATAGGCAGAGGGAGGGGGATATATACAGTATAAACATACACACCGAGAGAGAGAGTATTTAACTCACACATAACCGAAGAAATACTTCGATTAATCGCAATCTGCCATGTAGACACAAACACCTGTCTTTAAATTTGCTGTGTGACCTCTTTTAAATGGATTCTCAGCAAATATTTCAAAGCCCCTCATTTCAGTGACGGGCACCTATTCTTCGAAGGCTCCCCCCTCTTCTCCACTGAATCCCCAATTAATCCTAATTATTTGGTGTCACTTCGGGTTTTGTTTTTGTTTTTAAAAAAACACCAAACCAGCCCTTGGAGGGTGGTCATCCAACACCCTCCCCGCTTCCAGTTTCTCTCTGAAATTTTTAAAACCTGTTTTTTTTTTACCAAGCGCGATCCTCTGCCTCTGTATCGGAACGGGCCGCTTGAGGCTGCCAACCTTATCCGCACGCTGGTGGTAGTCAAAACTCGTTGAAGTTCACTCAAAGGGATTTACTTCTGACTTGGCGCGCGTAAGCACCGCGCTTACGACACTTCCGGGACCACCATTCTGAACCTTTTTCAAAAAGGTGGAGGGAGGGAGGGAGGGCACCAATCAAAGGGGGAACCGAGCAGAAGAAATTCGGTTTATGTTTACCCCGAAGGAAACCTCCTGAATTTATTAAGTTCTATGCGATGGTGCTAATTATTATCAATAAATGATAGTACATAATAAGAGTCATCCGTGTTCAAAAGAACTAGACTTCCCATTATCCTGTTGCTATTCTTGCCACAGCCCTCTAAGAAAAAGCAGTAGGAATACTCCCAACTTGGTTTATTCGGAAGCAAGTCCCATTGGAGACCTGCCACGCAAGTGCATCATCGCAAGCTAGTCACCGCCGGATTGTCTCCCTGGTGAGTTTAGATGGCCAAGGCGGATCCGAACCCTTTGATTCAGGATTCACCTTAGCCACTGCTCTCTGGGCTAGAAATGTCGCTTTGTGAGCGAACTCCGGGAAAGGTGAAACTTAAGGCGGCAGGGTGGTTTGCTTTGCGCGCTGCGCAATTGACTTCACTTCTGATGCTCTTTCGAAAGGAATTAAAAGGGAGGATTTTGAGATGTCCCCAAAGAGCCAAATCGCTCCATTTCTGCCCTGGTCATCTCTTGGAAGCTGCCAGAGACGTCGCTGACCCCCTCAACCCTCATCGGGGCCATGCTCGGTCGCTTTGCCAGACCCACACACCTGAGATCAACCTGCCCTATAAATATTAAGGGCGGGTGGAAAGAGAGAGATCTTTGCAAATTGTAAACAAGCGGAGGTCAGGGACACAAGGAGCGTGATGTGGTTATTCTGTAAATAGTCACTTGACCTTTAAAGGGGTCAATAAGGCCTAGTGGCCAGAGCGCTGCAGCTTTGACACCCAAGTTCAGTTCCGCTTCCCCACCCGCTTAGGCAGGTCCTTGGGGGGGGGGGTCACTCCAGACCAATCCCCAGCATCCCGCAGCCCAAACTCGCCACAAGGGTAAAACTCTCACATCATTCCTCACACTTTTTAGCCCTGAAAAGTTCGGTTCGTAAACCGTAGGGTGCAATCCAGAAAAAACAACAACAACGGGGGTGTTGTTGCTTTTAAATCTTACTGGTGGGGGTGGGGGGAATCTCCTTCAGAGTGCAGCAACATCTACAGGACCAGGTTCCAAGACTGAAGGGACACCAACTGCGATCCTAAACAGTAGGACATCATACTTGATCCAGCCGGACGCACTCTCCCTGGCAAATGGGGGGGGGGGTTAGAGAGTAACTGTCTACATGGATCGCGCCCCCGCCTCTCCTCCTGTTCACTAGACTTTTTGGATCTGCTGGTGTTCAATGGAAAAAATCGTTTAGGGCCTGCTTAAGAGACACACTTGGCACAGCCTACAGTTGTTGTTTACGCGGAAGTAAGTCCCACTTAGCGTTCCAGCCGTTGTCGTCAACCCCCACGAGCAACATCCCCCCCCCTGAAATATTTAATTCCAGTTGGGTTGGATACAGCTGAATATTTCTAAAACCATCTTGGGACTTTCCTAAAGCATTTCCTCCCTTGTTAAAAGAAAAAAGACCTCCTAGATGGATTTTTCACCCCTGGAGTCCCGCACCCGGTATTGCTCTTGGAGTGGATTGCGAATTCCGCGGGGCAGAGAACCTGTCTGCTGTTCTATGTTATGTTGTGGAGAAACAACCGCCATAAAAAAAAAACATAAAAAAACCCGAGAAGGAAGTTATTCTCATTCAAGGGCCCGATGTATCCATGCTTGCTTTTACACGGAAGTAAATCCCATTGGCTACGGCGAGACTGACTCTTGAATTAACCTGCTTGGGGTTAGGGGGCCCTCAAATCAATGTAGGGCAGCAATTAACTGAAGAAACAGCGTAGACTGCATTTAGTAGGTTTACTCAGGAGTAAGCACACTCATGCAGAATATATATATATATATATATATATATATATATATGCGCGCAAAAAACACGCGGAAAAAGAGTGCGAATTAAGAACACGTGTTCGTTTACACGCACAGGTGCAACGCAAGGATGTTTTCGCATTTGGAGGGGAAAAAAGTCAATCTGCTTTTAGCTGGGAAGGGGCAGCTATTGGTTTCCCCACTTTGAAAACATTGACTCGGAAGTTCCCTTCCAATCCTATTATTTAAAAAAAATCCCAACGTACTCTTACAATCCGTATCATCAGAATTCAGATTCAAACGCATTTATAAATAATTCTGGGCAAATAGCTCTCTCTCCCACCCCCACCCCACCCCGCGCTTTGAGAGCCTACATTTAAAACCAATTCCATTTTATGAATTACTTGATAAATAATCAACGCTTTTTAAAAAAAATAATTCGGCAGGCTTTGTTTTATTATTTGAATGGCTTTTAAAATTACCAGCTTTATTACAAGTTTGTGGAAACAGAACGTGGTGGGCGGACGGGCGGCGGAATCCCAGAACCTGATTGAGTTAAATCGCGAGGCGTTGGAGTAACTGAACCTCAAGCACAAAACGAAGAAAAGGAGAAAGGAACTTGGTTTGTTACCTCTCTCTTCCGTCCCCGTCCCCCACTTGAAAATATAACAAATGTTTTCAGACCTCCTTTGCCCTGACCACAACAGGATTAATATAAATCTAGATACAAAAAAAGAGAAAATCTTCTATAATCTTAATAATAATAATAATTTATTTCATTGTACTTCATTATAGTAATAAAGTATGCAGTTTTCAACCTCAAACTTTATTCTCTCCTCATATCTCCCACCTGCCGGTCGGCTGCTAAGCTGCTTTTTTATTTTGCTCGGGGGTGGGGTGTGAACGCCCCTTGTCCTGTTTCTTCTCTCCCCCCCCCCGCCCGCATTAAAAAAATATGGTTTATTTTCTTGAAAGCTTCTTGACATTCCCTTTCCCTTTAAATTAAAAACCCCCACACACCACGCAATGTATCCTTTCCAGTAACCATCTCTTCTGGGCCCTTGAATTCCCAAAGGGAGTAATTAATTAATACTGATTCAGCCAGGCTATTTACTGGGGGGGGGGGCTAGTGTCCTCCACCCACTTTCCTATTTCCGGGGATTCCTGAAAAATTCAGGAATCCAAGGATCCAGCTTCCTCCATTTCCATCCATTGCCCAGGAGAATAGGGTCGTTTCTATAAAGGACAACCAAGGATTTGAAATAGATAATGGTGATAATATATATATATTAATTAAAGGACCTGAAAATGATACTTACCACCTTGATCCCTTCTAAAGCAACTCCCCCGGACCTGTAAAAAGCAGAGTCCAACATTCAAGTGGAAAGGCTGTTACAATAAAAATTAGCTGGAAGAAAGGAGGAGTAAGAATAGAGAATAGCGTGTAAATACATATATATGTGAACAGGTAGCGCCGTAGAGCAGGTGAACTTGCTTAGATCAGAACCCCATGTTTTTTGCTTTTGAGCAGGGCACATTCATCGCTGTGGCAAAATAGGTAAGTCAGAGATCAGAGAGAGAAGGAGCCGGTGCCCAGGCTGCCTGAGTGGCTGAGCTCTTCCATCCTGCGCATACTTACTTGTGAATTTGCAGCTTGCCACATTTGAGTTCATTGAGCCTTACTCCCAAGTAAGCTTGCATAGGAATGCGGCCCAATGGGTAAAAATCAAGCAAATATGAATTGTCTTCTGAGTCAAGCTGCCCGGGGGATCGGCCAGCTTAACTTCATTTAACCAGGCGTTAAAGGAGCCCCTTACTCCTTACTTCCGAGCAAGGCCACAGCGATTCATTGGGAACGTTTCCTGGGGGCTGGCAAGGTTCCTGAGCTCGTGGGAAGTCGTATTGCGAAGTTGTGGTCTGACGTGCTTCAACCCTGAAGGCTGCTTTGCAAGGCTAGCCCGCTGGGGAGCCAAGACCCATTCAGCTTGGCGGAAGCTTACTTCAGAGTAAGCCCAGGCTTCAGGAGCGGGTCGCAGCCCAAATGCCTCCCTACACACACACACCTCAAGGACCCACGATCAGGTTTTATCGTGTTTTAAACAAGCACCACGATGGAGACAGAATCGTTTAAACAGCCTGGTGGAGGGGGGGCTGGGAGTAGAGAGAACCGAAAGCCCCCAACCCACCCAATTTTTATTGTAAATGGATTGGGGACAGGGTGGGAAAGAATGCGCCGATCGTTAGGAAAACGAAAGTCGTTTGGGTGTGTAGGGGGGGTTTTCATGTTGCCCGCCAGATTGGCTTAAATGCACTGGAGTGGAAGGGGATGCACGTTTTTCGGTAACGGCGCAAAACTGGGAGAAAGAGATGGTAAAAGGTAGAAGAAGTCTGTGCACCTAAACATCGTCTGTGCACCCTGGTAATTCTATAAGCCCCCGCCGAGTAGGGAAACGGCCACAGCTTCTGCAGTCAACCTCAGCCGCGGCTGCGATCTTCCTCAACCTGCCTACCTGGAGGTAAATCCCACTGTAATCAATAAAAGAAACTTCCGAGTAAACCTGGCCTTAAGGGAAGGGTGGGGGAGATCAGACATCCAGATATTCACAATTGCCCGGAATGGGTGGCTGGGGGGGGGGGGAGAGAGAAGAGTAAGCCCCTGTGGAGGAAGGTGGGGCGTTTACTCGCGAGTAAGCATGCTGCGGATCATGCGAGAAGAAAGCGCGCGCGCGTGTGTATAATCATAATATATCATGATATATCATATATATAATATATCAGGCGTGGGGGGAAAGAGCCCATCGCGAATGCCCCATTGATGAGAATAGCTCCTAATAGCCAAATAGCAAAATCATTAGATCTGTAAAGTGCAGCGTGCAGTTGGCTGGTTGAAAGAGACGGCTAACTAGTGACCAGAAAATAACAGATCTGCAAAAGGGCAGCGTGCAATTGACCAGCTGCAACGGACCGGTTGCTAGGAAAAGAATAATTAGACTTGTAAAGTACAGCATGCAATGGACCAGTTACGCCCCCCCCCAAAAAAACCCCAGCCACATACACCCCCCCAACCCTCCCCGTCCCACCCCAGCATAGCATAGAAACCATCGTCCGAATAAAAAAAAGGGCAAAGTCACCTCTTCCTGGATGTTACCTTCCATCTTTAAATATTGTCCACTGGGGAAGGGCAGCATGTAAAGGGTTAGGGAGAGAGAGAAAGGTCGCTTTTTCTTAAAGGGGCAGATCAGGGGAAGTGGCGGGGGGGGGGAGGAGGAGGAAAGGCTGGGATGGTGCTGCGCTCCGAGGAGGTGGGGGCAGAGATAAGTGATCTGAAGAAGAGGATAGGACCACGGAAGAGAAGGGGGGAGGTTAAAAAAAAAAAAAGCCACACACACATACACACACCAACCCCAACCCTGATGGTGATGAATACATTGGAAAGTTTTTTTGGCCCCGGAGAGGGTGTCAGATTGAATGCTCTGTGCGCATGTGCGAAGGTGTCCAAACTGACAATGCTTGGGAGATGAAGATAGCGCGGCAGAGCTGTTGCGGGTTCAAGGAGGGATCCGCTCCGCCGTCAAGATGAGATCCAAGGCGCGAGCGAGGAAACTGCCCAAAAGTAGGTCCCCTTTCTCCCGCGAGGGGGAGATCCCCGGCGAGATCTGGCGAGGGGGGTGAGAGAGAGAGAGGGAGAGAGAGAGAGGGGCGCGCGCGCTGAGCAGAGGTGGGGGGGGGAGCCATGGGTGTCTGGCTGGTCGGCCCTGGGGTGGGGGGACGACAACGACGAAGACGAGCCGATCGCCTACTCCTCGGCCGCCCTGGCCTCGCCGCGGCCGGATGAGCGCAGCTGGGCGAGCCGGGAGCGAGCTCCGCGCCGCCACAGCCGCCGTCGCCGGTCTCTGCGCGACGATCGGGGCAGCCTGGCCAAGGCTCCCCCCGCCTCTCCTTGCGCTCCGAGAGTTGTGCTCCGCACCCCGCGATTGGTGGGGTTCACCCGTCTGAGGATCTCGAGGCGATCAAGGATGGCAAGGAGGAGGAAGGAGGGGGATCGGTTTTTTAAAAAAATGAAAAGTAGGGGGGACACAGGGAGAGCTAACGAGAGCGAAGCGAAAGTTAGCTACAAAGTTGAAGCCTGCAACTTTTTTTCTCTCCCTTTCCCTCCTCCTCTCTCCTCTTCGCCGAGTCGTTTCCAAGTTCTTGTGAAATCTTTTTTTTTTTTTTTAAAGTTCCCAGCTTTTGAAATATAGTGGGCGCTAGAGATTCGCGGCTGGGAAGGCAAAGCGAGGTTTCCCGAGTAGATGGGGAGCTAGAGAGAGAGAGTAGACCGTGGAAAAGAGAGAAGGGGAGGGAGAGAAAAAGGAGGCAAGGGGGGGGGAGAGAGAGAGAGAAATATATATATTTATAAAACCAATCAGGCGAAGAGAGAGAGAGAGATTTGGATGGGAAGAGGCAGAGAAACTGGAACCCCAAATGCAGCTTGGCGTTATAGATATGTGTGTGTGTGTATGTGTATCTATCTAGATATACGCAGTGAAACTGACACGAGGTGAAATGGACAAGTTCCTGGAGCTCTGGCGGTTGTCGTGTTTTGAAAGTGAGCGATGGTGGGGTTCCTGCATGCGCCCTGTTGCAGGAGCAGTTTCTGTCCCCGATTCTCGCGCGCACGCTTGGAAAAGGGGAGGGGGATGTGGAAAGTTTGCAAATATATTCGTGTCTCCTTCCTCTCTCCCCCCCCCCCAATTTCTCGATCCCTCGTTGCCGGGGGCGGGGAGGGTGGAGTGGAGGAGGAGAGAGAACCCTCATCCTTCTCCAACGCTTGTCATCGGTTACCAATGAAATATTAAAAGATGGCAATGAGAAAAGAGGGTGGGCGGATGAGAACGAGGGGGGGGGCAAGTTGTTTGCTGCGCGATCTAAGATACTTTAGCTGTCAAATGACGATAGCTCTCCCCCCCCCGCCCCATCTCCCACTTTCAGGATTTTTGTAGCAAAAATAATATAAGTTGTTTTTGCGTTGTTGCTACTCTTTTAAACTCCGAAGTTAACACCGCGTGCATTTCATTCTGGCAGATATTTTTTCATTGTTTTGTCTGGAAAAGCGGGAGGGTCTATTTTGTGTTTTCACAATCGCTGTTGTCTGTCTTGTTTTTTTTTTGTTTTAATCTTAATTATCATTTGGAAACGGTCTGTTTTGTTTTGTTCCCCCGCCCATCGTTGAGTTCCATGCTGAAACCGGACGCGAGATTGTGGCTGGTTGAGGTGGAGGCGCGCGCGCGGGTGGCTGGCGGGGGGGGGGGAGGAGGAATGCCGTAAAGCTGTAAAAATAAAATACCTGTAAATATATTTGCAAATATAAAGGTGACGGAAAGCTATCCAGTGGAAGTTGGGAGCTGGCGCTTTAATCCTGAACACGTTTAAATACTTTTAAAAAGGGGAAGGGCGTCTGTCTCTCTACTCCGAAATACGTTTACTCGGTAGTGAAAGTTCTAATGGATTTTCAACCATGAACAGTTTGCGCCAGGAGATTTCGAAAGCTCACCTAAGTTTTGATCCTCTCGAGAGAGCGAGGATCTGAAACTCCTGCCTTTAAGTCTTTGTGTGTGCGTGTTAGTTGTGTTGTCGATCGTTACAAAACTCCAGCGGATTTCCACTGCCGTCCCCGAGACAAGTTAAGAACGCGCGACTCTCTCCTGCCTTTACGATTCAAGTCCCCGATTCCGGACACCCCCTCCAGACTCAGTTCAAGGTCAAGGCGCCCCCCGTTCTGAATCCTTCCTCCTTCCAGTCCCCTGCATGCTCGTCTCCAGATCACCCCGAAGGAAACAAGTGGAGATAGAGATTTGCAACGCCGAATGTCTCACACTTAATGAAACTCCAATAAGTGAGATCGCAGTCCTAATGGACAGAAGCACGTTTCCTGCGGTTTTAATGGAGCGGTCCCCTCCGCTCCAGCAGGATCTGTCCAACACCAACTTTCAAACTCCCTTGATTTAGTCTCTACTTTTTCGGAAGGGCGAGAGTTCAAAAAGAGAGAGAGAGAAAAGAAAAGGCAGCGGTCTTCCTCCTGCTGTTTTAACGTAATCAATAGTTGGATAATTTTTCAAGGCGCAAAAGGAACAAGCGCGCAGGGCGCGCAGGCAGCCGCTTGTCCTCCTTGACAGGCCCCGCAATTTTAACAGGAACAAATTCCTGTTTTCACAGCTCTCTCTCCCCGGACCGCCCCCCCCCCAGCCCGCTTTTCCACTACTGGGTAGAATCGAGGAAGGGAAGAAAAATTGATCTCCAAGCAGGACCTCGTTCCGCCTCGTGTCTTTTTACCGCTGTATCAAACTTGGGGAACGGCTGGACTTTGGTACAGCAACTTCTTTGTAATTAATACTATAATTATTCAATAAACAGAAATATCGGCTCCCTTCCATATATATTTGCCTCTGCTGCATTAAAAACAATCACATCCAGAATGCCTCAGGTGATATATGTAAATTATATCTCTCTCTGTGTGTGTGTCTTTTAAAAGCGTAAATTAAAATTTGTCCATTTCATCAGGTCGGAGTGGAAACGTCGCTGTCATTTCCCCATTATGAGCTGAAATGGACGAGACCTCAGGTGTGGTCGAATGCTTCCTTTGGGTAATTTCAGTCTTAAAGGCTGCAGTTCTGTGCCCACTTACTCGGGAATAAGCCTCACGGAAATAAAAAGCGACTTGATTCTGAGTAGACTTGCCCAACCTTGCGCTGCAAATGTGTGCTGGAGAGTTTAGTTCATCCCCCCCCCAGGAGGGCAGTTCCAATCTCTGTATTTTGGGGTTCTGGGTGTACATGGGGAGGGGGAGAGGAATTTAAAAAAAATGTAAATGGTTTTCAAAAACTTTTTTTTTTTTTGAGCCGCGCAAGGAGAATTTCTTTCTGCCCCCGCCGTTTACCACTTGATCCAACCTGGAAGTGTCTGTTATGAAAGTCCTGATTAAATTCAGCTGTTTTGATACCAACCCCAGACTCAACAGTTTACAGCGCGTGGAAGGAGGAGGGGGGGCAAGCCCTTTGAAGCTGAGGATACTTTTAAGGTTCTCCCCCCCCCTCTAAATACAGTAGTCCGGGTTTCCAGATCCCTGGGGCTTTCTGCACGGAAAACGTTCGGTCCTGATTTGCAAGGGATCGTTGCTTTCGCATTTATCTCCGGATCAAACGCCCTCAAATAACCATTCCTCTCCAACACGGGCCTAATGCGTTCGCTTTCCTCCTCCTTGCCCTGAAATGCCTGTCAAGTTTTGCTTGTGTTTCGAAATGCTGATCGGGTATCTTAGACAAAATAAAAATTGAAAATTGAAAATCATCCTCGCTTCCTTGTGACGGATGCAGCCGAGAAGGTAAAGGCGAATCAACGTCTGGCTGAATTGTGCTGTAGTAGGATTTGGTTTTCGGTGGGCAATATTTTCAGCAGATGGAAAGGGGCCTCTCCGGAGACTCCCAGTTCCACGACATGTTTTCGCTACGAGGAAGGTGATGTGTGAACGCGTGTGGGTTTCGTTTCTTGAATGGAGCCCTTCACCGCGGCACCTATGTGAAGATGAAATTTTAATTTCTCCAGACAGCAGTCCCTTGGCATGAACTGGGATGGCCTGTGTGTGTGTGTGTGTGTGTGTGTGTGTGTGCAAGTTAAATGACACCCCCCAAACACACACAGCTGAATAAATTCACCCTGGGCCCTGCAATCCCATTCTCGTTTAGCCCCATTGAGCTCAGAACCCAGTCGACACGTACAGAACTGCCGTCCTACACGCGCGCTGAGCTGAGAAAGCAACTTGTGGCTTCTTCCTCCCGAGTAGGTCTGCATCTCTGGATTAAAGAACTCCAGAACAAATGCAATTATAAAGTGTTGTGTTTTTTTATTATTAAAAAAATATTATTTAAAGGCAGGCTCGATGAGCACCAAGATGGAGCAGAGGCTGAGGCGGGGAGGTGATACCTGATTTTTGTACTACGATCACTTCCCTGGATTCTGTCCCGCTTTAATAAATAAATAAATACACAAATAAATAAATACACAAATAACAAAAACCGCTCCTGCAGTTGAGTCCCATTTACAGCAAAGGGTTTGGGCTGCGTGCGTTGCAGGAGAAAACGTGGTGATGTTTGGGAGATGCCTTTACACTGGAAGAGACAGGGAAATAAATAAAAAAATTAAATAAAGTCTTAGATAGCGGTGCTAGGCTCTGCGTGTCTACTTGCAAGTAAAGCCCATAGAGCCCGGCTGCACTCATAAACCCACTTTACCCAGGAGCAAGCCCCATCGGATTAAATAGGGCTTGATTCTGAGGAAGCACGGCCAGGCCGGCAGCCATGATCCTGGCTTTAACTCTTAGCCAAAAAGAAAGAAAGAAGTGTGTGTATATATACATATATACATATATAGGATTGCAGCCCGAGTGACTTCCTTAACCGTCGAGAGCCAGATTATGGAATAAAACCTTGAGGCAAGCCGTTTGAGTCTCTGTGTGAAAAAGAAAGTAAGAGGAGAAGAAAGGGAGAAGTTAAGGAGCGAGGAAGGGAAAGATTGCGACCGGCTTCCCCAGGAACCGAACCTGGAGCGGCTGGGCCGAGGCTGCGCCGTTTCAGATTC